AATCTAGAACAGCATTTTTCAACCTTGGCAAGTTTAAGACATGTGGACGTCAACTTCCAGAATTCTCCAACCAGCACTCATCTGGAAGCAAAATTATTCCAGAATCCAGAACAAATTTAATCTAGATCAAAACTGACAATATTGTTCTTACAAAATACCCTCAACTTATGTTTAGTGACAAAGTTTCCATAGTGGACAGATGTCAGTTCAAAAGGCTCAATTTTAGGACATTATTTGTTAAAAACTTTTTTTTAATATTTACGTATACAATACACTGCACAATAAAACTCCAATGACATTCTAAGCATTTATTTATCTTTCTAGAAAAAATATAAAAAAAGCAAATTTGTTACCTGTTATCACATTTATATCTGGGTACTGAGTTTCACATAGAGTAACAGCTTTGCTATTCTTCTCAAATGCCTCACGGAGTTCTTTTTTCACAGCTGCCGACCCACATAAACGGTAGAGCCCTACAACCTAGAAATAAAATATAAACCATATACAGCAACCTCATTTAGTTTAATGAGTACTAAAATATAAATCAAATATTCAACAGAAATCCAATTTTAAATATACTCAATATACCAAGATGGCCATAAAAGACTCTAAAAGGACTGGAAGGAAACTCTGTATGAAATAAAATCTTTATCAGAAAAAAGCAAGATTATCCATGTTGCATTAAGTATATCGACTGTGTTAGAGAGGAAATAGCTATTTTAATTGTAATGAATACAGTGGTATAATAGGACCAGGGAGACCAAAGTCCATCTATATTCAGCCAGAAAAGCTTACAGTTTATAAGCTTACACAGGGACTTTACATTCAGTCCTAGTCATCAAACTGATGGATTAGGTCCATCTTATCTTTAGCATTGTCTAACATAGTAGAGTCTACCTGCCTACTCAATTAGTATCCTTTCCCAAGAAGTCAAGGGAAACTATCACAGAGGGTTTTCTCAGACATAAACACTCACTATGAATCAGTGCCTTTAAAAAGTAACTGGATTTAGTTGGTTTTTTTCTTGAAAATGTTTTGCTTCTTATGCAAGAAGCTTCTTCAGTTCTCAGTTCAGTTCTTCAGAACTCAAGAAGCTTCTTGGATGAGTAGCAAAACATTTTCAAGGGAAAAAAAACCAAGAAGGCCTATTTGCCTTTTGATGACTTTGATGATTGAGGATCTCCATAAATACTCAATTTGAAATACAGTAGCCTGTATCCTGAAATGAGGATGGACCCTTTTCCTATTTAAAGAGTTGTCTGCCCTGAGTGTGAGCTGTAAAATATGATTTATAGGTCAGGGTGTTGTGGGACCAAGATATTACTGGGTTGTTTAATAACTGAGGTTAAATAAACCATTGGTTACCAAAAACTGTACACCCAGTTTTTATCCCCTCAATGCAGCACACCTGATGTAGTTATTTTTACAGGGAGAAAATGGAAAAGGGAACACTGTACCATTTTCTTTTTAATAATAAATTATTTATATTAATTAAATTATGGTGACACATTTATTACAATTTGAACATACAAAGATGTTTTGTCTGTTTTTATAGAAGCAAATATTTTTCTTCTGACGTGAGTCTCAAGGAATCATGTGCAGGCAATTTGCTAGCAGTAAAATTTATTTAAAAGGCTCTTCTGATTAGGAACCCTTCTGATTAAGAATATACACCGCTCAAAAAAATGAAGGGAACACTTAAAACAACACAATGTAACTCCAAGTCAATCACACTTCTGTGAAATCAAATTGTCCACTTAGGTAGCAACACTGATTGACAATCAATTTCACATGCTGTTGTGCAAATGGAACAGACAACAGGTGGAAAGCATAGGCAGTTAGCAAGACATCCCCAATAAAGGAGTGGTTCTGCAGGTGGTGACCACAGACCACTTCTCAGTTCCTATGCTTTCTGGCTGATGGTTTGGTCACTTTTGAATGCTGGTGGTGCTTTCACTCTAGTGGTAGCATGAGACGGAATCTACAACCCACACAAGTCGCTCAGGTAGTGCAGCTCATCCAGGATGGTACATCAATGCAAGCTGTGGCAAGAAGGTTTGCTATGTCTGTCAGCGTAGTGTCCAGAGCATGGAGGCGCTACCAGGAGACAGGCCAGTACATCAGGAGACGTGGAGGAAGCCGTAGGAGTGCAACAACCCAGCATCAGGACCGCTACCTCCACCTTTGTGCAAGGAGGGACAGGAGGAGCATTGCCAGAGCCCTGCAAAATGACCTCCAGCGGGCCACAAATGTGCATGTGGCTGCTCAAACGGTCAGAAACAGACTCCATGAGGGTGGTATGAGGGCCCGACGTCCACAGGTGGGGGTTGTGCTTACAGCCCAACACCGTGCAGGACGTTTGGCATTTGCCAGAGAACACCAAGATTGGCAACTTCGCCACTGGTGCCCTGTGCTCTTCACAGATGAACGGAGCTTCACACTGAGCACATGTGACAGACGTGACAGGGTCTGGAGACACCATGGAGAACTTCTGCTGCCTTCAACATCCTCCAGCATGACCGGTTTGGCAGTGGGTCAGTAATGGTGTGGGGTGCCCTTTCTTTAGGGGGCCTCACAGCCCTCCATGTGCTTGCCAGAGGTAGCCTGACTGCCATTAGGTACCAAGATGAGATCCTCAGACCCCTTGTAAGACCATATGCTGGTGCAGTTGGCCCTGGGTTCCTCCTAATGCACAACAATGGTAGACCTCATGTGGCTGGAGCGTGTCAGCAGTTCCTGCAAGGCGAAGGCATTGATGCTATGGACTGGCCCGCCCGTTCCCCAGACCTGAATCCAATTGAGCACATCTGGGACATCATGTCTCGCTCCATCCACCAACGCCATGTTGCACTAGGCTGTCCAGGAGTTGGGGGATGCTTTAGTCCAGGTATGGGAGGAGATCCCTCAGGAGACCATCCGCCACCTCATCAGGAGCATGCCCAGGCGTTATAGGGAGGTCATACAGGCACACGGAGGCCACACACACTACTGAGCCTCATTTTGACTTGTTTTAAGGACATTACATCAAAGTTGGATCAGCCTGTAGTGTTTTTTTTCCACTTTAATTTTGAGTGTAACTCCAAATCCAGACCTCCATGGGTTGCTAAATTTGATTTCCATTGATAATTTTTGTGTGATTTTGTTGTCAGCACATTCAACTATGTAATGAACGAAGTATTTAATAAGAATATTTCACTCATTCAGATCTAGGATGTCTTTTTTGTGTTCCCTTTATTTTTTTTGAGCAGTGTATATGCTTTAAGGAATGCATCAACATAATTTCTGCACAATTTTTTTTAAAAAATCTAAATCATACCATGAGAGATTGCTTCTTTCCTAGCAAAAGTAATCTCTTAAGGGTTTTTTCAAAAGGCAATTCCATTACAGCTAACATAAAAGGGAAAAAGTTATAGCAAGAAAGTTGTATTGTCTTAGCATTTTTAATGGAAGCTGAATAGAAATTTAACTAATAACAATAGCACCTCATATACAAACTATGTGTAACACTCACTCTTTTAGATGCATCATTATTACAAATGAATATTATTTCAGTTGTAGGATGAAGCATTGTTACTGCACGATGTAATGTACAGTAAGTGAGTGTGACACTGACTGAATATATCTGTTTTTTAATCCAAATATTTCTCATATAAATACATCCTCTTACAGTGATAGAGTCTAAGCCAGAACTAAATGTTTACATGCTACTTGAAATTCAGGATTACATTTTCTCTAACAAATGAAGAAGTTGGATAAACAATTCTTTTATAATATAAACTAAAACAGTATAAAAAAGCTTTAGTCATCAACATTAAATACCAAAGAGTATTATGGTACTTTAAATACTAACTCATTTATTACATTTTTCTCCAGAACCCAGTCCACAAAAGCTTCAACTGCAATATATTTACTAGTCTTTTGTTCTTTTTTCAATCACCTTTTGGAAATTTCTAGATTAATGGTCTTTAAAAGCACTAAATTCTTGTGGGCAAAGGGTACAAGGAAAAGCACATTTAAAATCTGGCTGCCTTTAAAACCCGAGATCTGAAAGGCTTAAACATAAGGCATTTAGCTTTCCCATAATAGGAAATCTTGCTCTCAATGCAAAAAGATTTCCAGTGATACCCATTTACTGAATACTGGGGTGAGATTTGTGAGTGTTCCTAAAACTCTGTTACCCATTTATATTTTAATCCCCAGATGTACATATTCTGCATATATCTTTATATCTAAGGCTGCCCTGGAGCATCTTCTTAATCCTGTCAAACATCCACACTGGGATTCTAAAGGCATGATGACTACCTGTTTTACTGAAAAATAAATTCCCTACAGCTCATGCCAAGCATTTTTATAGCCATGTTAGACATCTTTTAAAAATCAGTTGGCTTCCCATGAATTTCAGGAAGGCAGAAAGAAATCATTCTAATCGGCTTCATGATTTCTGAGCTTTTGAGATGGGGGAAAAATCAGAGATTTGTTGCATGAAGTGAAAGTAAATAATCCTATTATTACTGAATGATGCAACAGTCTGCTATGATACTAACAACATCTGTAGGGCAATGCCTACTATTCCTACAGAAGCAACATATAAAGTTACCTTACAAGAAAAACTCTCTACTCTCAGTTTTGTTTAATTACAATTTCCGAATCCTATATCCTGTTTGAGATTTTTCTGACTGTATAAATACAAATGCCATTATTATATTAGAGCAGGGCTGTCAAACTCATCGCCCACGAGCCGGATGCGTCATGTTCTGGGCAGTTTAGCGAAGGGGGATAGCTATCCAAATGAAGAAGATCAAGGACTACAGAATGTTGTATTCTTTGGATTTATATATATATATATAGATAGAGAAGGAGGGAGGGAGGGAGAGAGAGGGAGAGAGGGAGAGAGAGAGAGAGAGAGAGAGAGAGAGAGAGAGAGAGAGAGAGAGACCGCGCGCAATGACAAAACTTTACTTCTTTACCTGGCAACCTCTTTTTTCAATATCCGTAATGCACTTTTTCATCAAGAGAGGGACCATCAAACCTTCATTTTCCTTCTCAACAACTTTCCGAGCATCAACTCCAAAGAGTATTGGTTCTCGTTCTCCATCTGTTCCACAAAAAGAATTCTCCCACTGTTCCAGAAGAGTTAGCTTGACATAGATAAGACCTCTAGGCTCCAGTTTTACTGCCAACTGATGAGTCTTCGTCACACGAAAAAGAGCAGGAAGAACTACCGTACCATGGCAGCAGACCCGGTTTTTCCTTGGCATGGGCTCCCAGCTAAAAACCACTAATTTTAGATGCTGAGCATTTTCTATCTCTATGTTGAAAGTATGATCCATGTCCAAAAATGTTGTTCTGCAAGTCAGCAAAGCGGTCCTTGCTTTATTTACCGAATCTACCTGAATTGCACAGAAGACATCTTTTGAGTCCATCCGTGGTGGTTTCAGGTCCTCTGCACCATAGAAGTGAATGCTCATGAGTCCAGATATGTACTGGGAACATTTGGGTTGGTCAACAAAAGTGTAGTGTCGAAAAGCATCAATGTCTATTTCTGATTTATTACCCAAGTTACCTGCAAATACTTCCTTTCCTTTCCCGACCCTGCTTTCAGCTGCGTATTTCCCTGATTTTGCTATAAGCTCAGGAGAGTCTCCATCGCTGAGGTAGCCCCCTTTGCTGGAGGATTTGGAAGTCCCCCTGTTTTTCTTTTTGTAGCTGTGTTGAGACGATACACTGCTATCAAGATGATACCGGCTTATAACATTCCTGCTAGCAGCTGCTGTTACATTTCCAGAAGAAGCTAACGGTGCATGGCCTACCTCCTGGCAATTATTTTTAAGCAACAAAGAATTGTCTGAGCTATTATGGCTTGAATTTCCTTTGACACTGAGCTTCCTGCTGAGTTCAGGCAATTTTTTCATCTTCATGGAAAGTTTCCGGACTGTTCTTGGGGATTTTATTTTATCAGGGAAAGGCCAGTTTATCGAACCACCTTTTTTCAATGGGCTTGGGCTTGGAGGAGAATATTCTGCTGTTCCTGTCTCTGCCTTGTTTGCAGACATGATTCCAGGACCTTTGAAAAAAGAAAAGAAAGAGATGATTTAAAAAAAGAAATGTTGGAAATAAAAGAACGACTTCTTCGTCGTGATCTGAAAAATGTCTGTCTAGAAAGATGCTGAGCATCATCTACATCAGAGTTCCCCAACCTTTCTGATTTTGCGGACTGGGCGGGCGGCGAGAGAGAGTAGGGTTCCACGCGTGCGGCGGGCATGTGCACACAGCTCCATTTGTGCTTGCCCACCACTCAAACAAGTAGGGATGCACGTGCTTGCCCACCACCTCTGCGGCCCAGTTCCGAAGGGCTCAAGTCCCTGTAGTCTGGGGGTTGGGGATCCCCGAGCTACATTATTCCCATAAATACCCTTTCCTGTGTGCCAGAACAACCAAGGCTATGCGTCCCCCTTTCCTTAAAAAAGACAAAGAAGGCAGATGCTACCTAGGAATCACTGACCCATCCCATTGCTGAAGGACCATTCTGCTTGTTTTGTTATCTTGTATATGTTAAATTGATGTCTTTCAAAAGAGAAACTGAATGCGGCAGTTTTGTTTCATCATCTCTTCTGAAAATAAAATTCTATGTTTTGCCTACATTCTGGAAAAAATTGGAAAACAAAAGAAACAACTTTGCTTTAGGGCTACTGTGCATTTCAAAGGCAGTCTATTTCACAGTGATTTGATTTTTTATGGTTTTTTTTCTTTGCCAAACAAACATATATGCCTCTTCTCATTATAGCAGAGTGAACTTACAATATATTTGGAATCAATTCTCCACAAAGTTCCAACATCACTTATCTCTTAAAATCCACTAATAAATCCTTTCTTACACAATGTTTTTTCCATTTATCAAAGAAATCTGAATATCATAAAGAACCAACAAAATAACTTAACATTAGATTCATAATTAGTTATTTGCTTATTCAAAATATTTTGTAAAAAAAACACCAGTTTTATAGGAGGAAATTTTTAAAAAAAGTAAAACTGAATACAGCATACAATTGTAGCAATTGATACACCATAGTTTTTCATAGTGAAAGATGAGCCTCAAACTTTTGTTCATAGCTCTTACCTCACGGAAGTAGAAGGCTCACCTAAAGATCTTGACATAATAATCATGTTTACTATCCAATAAATCTTTATCTAATTCTACTAGAAATATTCAAATAACACTATTGCATTCCAAATCCAGCAATATCGTACAGTATACCAAAATGTTAAAAACAGATGTTCAGTACAGACTGTCAACTGTCATTTAATATAATTGGGTGGAGCAGTCTACCTCCTAGTATCCCTTGTGAGATAACAGGACATCACTAGATCGCGCTGCCAGAATATGAAGGAGGAAAATGCTGACTTTCAGCCATGCAGTTTTTCTTTTTCTTTTTGTAAAAATTTTATTTGGGTTTTCACAAAACATAATACAAGTAAAATTTCTTTTTTTGAGAATAGCATGGTCCCGGTTATCACTTCTCCATACAGACACAAACTCAATTTCATATTCGCCTTTTGTGTTCTATTCCATATCTCATTACTATTTTAACATTTTCTCAATAATGTTTCCCTTAGTTTTCTCATCCTTGCTTTTAATTATCTCATTCCTTTCTAAATTCAGTTATATATATCTTTTCCTAAGTTTCAATATCTTTCTAATCATTGTATTTATACTTTTGTCTGTCCTGATTCAATTTCATATTTTCTTTTCTCATTAAACAAAATTTTCCCCTGTAGTTACTGATTGGAGTATGACACTTTTGTATCTTTTAATTTTTGTCCATTCAACTCTTATTTAAACTTCAATTTATGCCTTTACAATTATAACATTCGGTATAATGCATAACTTCCAGTCAAGTTCTGCTTGGTACATTGGTACAAATACACACTAAGTTCTTAAAGAGAAGGTATATACATAACAATAATAAATAAAATACTTATTCTATTCCAATTCAGCTCTATCATTAATGTTAATTATAATCTTTAACATCTTTAACATTTCTTTTCAATAGGATATCATACTTCCTTAGGAACAGTTATATTTCCATATTTTTCTCATATTTCTTTCATATTCCTCTTCACTTAAATTTTTATAACACATTAGTAATAATTAAAGTGTTCCCCTTCTTTCCTAATTTCATTCTCTCATTCTCATTTCATTTATTTATTAACAAACATTCCATTACATTACAATGAGTATTTTATCTATAATTTTAATCACACTTGTTTCATATTTTCAAAGTACATTTCTATTTCTAATATAAGAATACTATCTTATGTACCCTTGCAGAATCCCCTTTTCAATTAAGTTTTCACCCATTATCTCTGTGTCTTCTAAATAGGCTTATACCTTTAATCTTTGTACGTTTTCCATTTCTCTATATCCTGTTTCTGTCCTTTACAATTTCTTTTCCTTTCCCTCTTCCCCCTCTTCTTCTCCCTCCCCTTTTTGATCCCTTGTCTCTCTAATTCTGATTCGCTCTTCTGTAATCCTCTCTTCTGTTTCTTCCTAATGTTGTAATTACTTTTCAAACTATTCTTTTTTTTTGGTTGTTTTTCAGATCTTAAATTTTTTGCTCTCTTTCCCCCCTTTCCTTTCTTTTCCCCACACAGAATTACTTGATCATTGAAGATGGCTTCTTCTTTGTCCCGCCCTTCTTGTTCTACTAGCATTTCTTGTTGTTTCTCATAGTTCAGGATGTCCATTTCTAAAAATTGAAATGCGAAGCCAAAAAAACCTCTTCCTTCTTGTGCATCTTCTTTCTGTTTTTTAAGTTCCATTTTCAATTCTTCCAAGAGTGATACCATTTTAAAAACTTTTAAACAACCACACGATTAATTTTAGTCCTTTAGATCCATAACCAAAAATCCAAAAATCACCAAATGATCCAAGTAATCCCAAACTGTTTCTTCTTGCTTCTTTTTTCCCACTTTCTCTTCCTGTGGTTCTACAGTATTATCTTGTTACAAAGTTTCAGTTAGAATGTGTCTTTTAGGAATCTTGTTAAAGTTTCACTGTTAATTCCTTTCACTTCCAGGTGGTCTCCTCCATTTTTCCAGATCCCACCCTTTTGTTTTTTCCTTTTCTCTCCTCTCCTTCTTTTAAAAGTTTTTGAGAGTCCAGAAATCTTTATTACCCCTTTGACATTTTATTTTCAGCTTAAATGCCTGTTAATGTCAAAGTGGATTTTTGCTGGTTTCTTGCTTAAATCTCTTTGTTGTCAATATGGGGAAGGAAAGACAAAAAACCCAAATCCTTTCCCTTCCCTCTCTCATTCACCGCTTCAAAGTTTTCTTTGAGAACAATGATTCTTTATAATTCAAATTCCAGGGTACCTTATATTGATGCTTTTTCAGTTCGACCCAGTCAGCCAAAAACTTTCTCTTCTTATCTTCCTCCTGCACATTCTTTTCCAGTTGAGTTCTTCTTTGAGGTGGCCATTTCTGACCACTGCTGCAACCGCCTTCGGGAAAGGGAGTAATCGACAGCTGGGGAGGAGAGATGCGGTTCTCCTTGACCCTGCTGGCAGTCTCCCCCCTCTTCACCACCTCTACGGGGTGCCTTAGCCCCAAAACCAGCCGACTTGGGGCACTCCAGCGGCGAGCACAGATCGAAACCATGCACGATCACGGATTTCGGTCTGTCGCCGAAGAGGCTCAAACCGGAACTCCAACAATGCAGTTTTTCAAGTTGGTATTTTTATTTTGTTTCAGCAATGTAGGGATTTTGGAAAACTTTATGGAGACATTTTACCTCACACTACAAAATACAAAGTTATTTTTCTTGTAGAATTAGAAGACAGTATGATTAATTTATTCTTTAGTTTTTCCTCTAGCATCCTAAAGTATACTCAAAGGGACAAGAAATAATATCTGGAAAGCACAGATCCTAACCTAATCGATCATCCAATCGACCAGGATGGTCCTCCAGATAATCATTTGCTCATTTGTACTTATAAGCACTACAGAGAACACATTTACTCACTAAAAAGTAAAGCAAAAGTGCATCTGACCCTTAATTTAACTTTTCTTTCCCACCCAACAACCAACCAGGTCTGACTGCCTAGCTTAGACATTCAAAGAAAAAATAACCAAACAAAATCTAAGCAAATGCTTATGAAAAGACTTATCAAATCTCCCTATCACTACTTAGATACCTATATTATGGTCTGGAGTTGCCTTATAGGAGAGTCGGGCAATGTAAGTATGAAATAAATAAACAAACAAACAAACAAACAAATAAATTTTGGGAAGCTGCTGATAGCAGGAGCACAGTTGCTTAGTGACCAAGTAGACTGTGTTTTTACAGCATTACACAAATCATTCCATTTCTTCTGCAGCCCACCCAATTAGAAACTGCGGCTCAAATAAATAGCACCTTATCCATATTCTACAGAACCCCTGTTATTTTCTTAAACAGGAGCTAAATAATTTTTTATTGACGGAAATTGACAATTAGGCTTTGTTTTTTAAAAAATGATGAAGCCGATTCTACTGCACAAAATATGTTTTCCAGAGCCTCAGTAAAAGTTCTTGTTTCATTCAACTGCTTTGCTTCTATTGAGGCTATTTCCTTACTTGGAATAGACTATTTCTAGCACACCCGCTGTGTTTTTCTGGCAACAGCTCATAAAAAATGTGGTATTTGATAAATCTGGACAAAGGCCTCTCTTGTACTGCAAATCACCTCAGTCTCACTAATGGGTTGCACTGAGGCATTCCATAGTAATCAGGGCAAAGTTTTAATTAATTCACATTAATCTTTCTCTGTCAGAAGCCTCTGGCAAAGGCTTAGAAAAGCAAGCCAAAATATAAAAAAAAACCTGAGAAGTCAATCTAACATTCCTGACATTTTATCTCGAACTTCCGGTGGCTTCATAAAGCCTTCTTATTCTTTCATTGTTGGAACAATAAATAATGTCAAAAAGACACTGGAACCTTTCTTGGCATTATAGCAACCATACATACACAAAGGGAACAGACAACTTTTTCAAATCCAATACAACTATTATACCAACCGATAAT